GAGTTCTTGGCCAACTCGTGGGACGCGCTGAGCATCCGCTCTGATGTACGCTCTTTTGCAAGACCTGGTGGCATTATTGTAGGCTGTTTTAAGTGAGTTCGTATTGGGATCGTCTGAAGCTCGACCCTTGATCCAAGCGCGGTATGCAGTCTGTTTGTTCTCAACAGCCACAGCACACTCGCGGTTGAACCAGCGGTTGCGCCTCCCTTTACTGACGACATCCGAATGCGGGATGTAGTATTCCATCCCGATTAAGACCTCATCAGCAACGGCAGTCGCGCTAGCTGTTGGATCCACCTCACTAAAACAGCGCTGCCGCCAAGGAACGGATGCAAAATAGTCCCGCATACCGTCCCAATCTGCCGACGCATAATGCCAAATGCGGCGATTAGCCACAGTAGGTGGTGGTGGCAGTATCGTTGCCACTTTAGTGGATATCAAGCAGTGATCCGAAGTGCCCAGAGGGGCTTGGACCTCCACCCGATATCCAGCCGGGCGAGACGTCAGCAGAAGGTCCAACAAAGAGGGCGCGTCACCAACCCTATCTGGTATCCGGGTGGGGTGGTTTACCAGTTGGGTTAAATCGTGTGTGAGAGCGAATGTGTGGGCAGTTCTTCCAGCATGGTCAGTTTTAGAGGAACTTAACCACGACTCGTGGTGGGCATTGAAATCTCCTAAAAACACCAATTCCGCTGTAGGAAACTGCGCCTGCGCGTCATCTGCCGCCCGAGTAAGGTGGTCTATGAGACGAGTTGTCTCCATGTCGCCGTGGTGGGATCTGTAGAGGCACATGTAGACACGGCAATGACTGCCCAGGTCAACATGTACCCCAAGGATGGAGAAGGAGGGGTCCTCCAAATGACGCAGACGGCGACAGCAAACATCTGCCCGGACAAACAAGCAGACCCCAGCTTTCGCTTTGAAGGACTCTTCAAGCATATATAGACAGGGTAATTCAAGTAGCTGCTGTCAGCCGGGCAGAGTATTTGCGTCTCCGTAAGGAACAGCATTTCTGGTCGAGCCGTCTCAAGATGTTGGTGGACGGCGTGGATGTTACTGTGGAGTCCTCGAATGTTCGTGAACTCCACCTTAAAGAGCGCTTTAGTGGTGGGGGTGTGCACCGCTGTACGACCGAAATTTGTACTTTGCGCTAACATGTTGGAGGGAAAAAGAGGCGTGAAGCGAGAAAACAGTGCCGCGACACAAGCGGTCAAATCGCGGGGCCTGCTTCCCCAGAGACTTGCCTACAGACAAGTTGCGCTGATCCGCCTGACGGAAGGGCCCCCGAACCCCCCCGGGAATGGCCGCCGGGACCCCACCTCCCGGTCACCAACCG